ATTGTACAGTGGCATTAAGTGCCATAATGTGCACCTCTGCCTACCCCTTCGGGGATAAAAGGCGTGATGTTATGTTAAAAAAAATATAGGTTCATTTCTCTAACAAAATACACAAATATTTTATCAACTATGCTCCATAACATTTTCTAGAAATAGGATAAGTAGATAACTTTAGAGTCAAGCCAGCGGGGTTGCCGGGGCTCCGATTCAAAGTGCAGGAGAAGGAAAGGGGTGGTTTTTAGTCAATAAGAGTCTGAAACTCCCTTTCGCAAGCCAGCGATCGAAATCAATAAGAAAACATTATTAAATACACGGTAAAACAAACAAATCAACATTTTTTATAATAAATTCCCAAAACTAGTTTGAAAATACTACTTACCAAAAGCAGCAGGAAAGAACGGCTTCTTAGGAATAGCATCACTGATGTATCTAAAGTCAAGATCAGCTTCTTTCACTTGAACTGTATTTCTGTCGATACCAAGGTACACTGACTTCACCTCCGACGCATGGCTCTGGTCTTGTAGAGATTCCAGCATTTGACCGCTTACCACCAAGTCTGATGCGAATGACTCTTGCTTGTACTCGTTCTGAAAACCCAAATAATATTCATATCACCATTATATTGTTCAAGTATGTGGTGATCTTGGTGGCATCATACTAATAGTAAGGCCGAGTGAAATTCTCTGCCGTAGTCTGTGTTTCGTATGGATATGTGGTATGTGTAAAGGGTATGGGTGTCTTGTATGAACAGATGTCCATACATCTGTTCATACATACATGGATACACGGCAAAATGGTAGCCAGTCTATCGCAGAAATGTTGATACGAGAAATAGTGGTTGTACCTGGTTTTCCGCTAACATCGCAGTGTAGTTAAATCCAGAATAGATGAGCATCGCGTTAGCGCCGAGACCAGTGCATGCACCTGTACCATGCACCCTCACCCAGTAACCTCCACCTTCTTCTGATGCACGCACTACAGCATCCATACGCTCACCTTGAATAGAAAAATAAACAATTAGTTATATGAATAATAATGGAACTGGACGTTATTAAAATAAGCCAATTAGTCCACTGAAACTAATTATGACAAAGGTATCTACCATCAAAATGAGGAAAATAAGAACAATCATAAAACCATATTTTATGCATTTTCTGATCTTGATTTCGCTTCAAACGCCGCCAATGACCTTGTTTTCGTTAATTAAAATAAAATAGTTCAAACGAAACTCGACGTTAAAGTAACTAATTAATATTAAACAGAAACAACATTATAATAAACCAAATAGTTCAAATAATATGCGAATGGACTTTGTAACACCAATTATTTGGCATGACATGGTAAAAGGAAATTTTAAATTGAACGAAATTATAATGGTAGAACTAGAAAACTATTAAAAAACAATAGAAAGTGAAAACATAACAAACGAAACTGGTTAACGATGACCTTAAACTTAGTGAGAAGCAACACGAGCGAGACAAGATGTATACCTTTCTCCTCTTACTAGATGAGGAGAAAATAAATTCACTTTAAAATGCTTTGGTCAGTGAGCAAAAAATCGCACCGAGAGTACTTTAACAAATACCGTTATGGAGTAAATAGAAATCCAAAAGCGACTCAGAACAATTTGAAAGACCACGTGGATAATATGCGACTATATAAACAAGCGTACGCCTCCTTTAACGAAATCTATTATTTACAGTTTTATAGTACTAATACATCGATGTATTTAGACCTCATGTCTTCATTTCTATTATGCTGAACTTTCATAAATTAAACCCGTATGATTATATGATTTACGATGGTGTTAGGTGTCTCCATCATCAACGTCTAACCCAAACTTTTCCAACATAGTAGAAACACTTTATTTTATTGGATTTCCATGTTAAATTGAATCATTAACCCGCCAACGACAAATATAAAACCAGTTTCATTTTAAACTGTTTTTTGTTATTGACGATGTTCGGTAATTGACGTCTATCCTATAATGCATAGTCGTCTGAATACGATAGTTTAATGAGTTTATCGATATTTTGTCGATTCATTAATTTAAACCATTTGAAGATGCTTCGTTAACTTCCCTTCACAATTTGACTTATTACTGTGACTTATACAATCGAATAAAAAAGAAATTGACTCTTACGTGCGAACTTGTCATTCACATGCCATATAAATTTTGTGGTGGCCAGTGATAGTTTTTCGATTACAAGAGATAAAAGTGATGTGGTTAATAGCACGTCGTTCATTCAGCCAATTGAAGTAGATGCCACTTTCTCCGAAGTAAAAGCTCATTCTATCGTACAACAAATTCCGTTCGCTCTCACGCCTCTAAGGGTTTTATTCGTCAAGTTTATTATTGTCTTTGTGTTTTTGCAAACACACATACATTGTGCAAGAGGTACTAATAAATACTCGGTTATGTAAGCTATGGTGTTTATTTCCTTAAAATTTGCATCATAACATATTCTATGGGTGTCTTTAACTTCCTCTACTTAGGTAATTATTCGTATACAATAATAGACTTTAAGATTACTGCTGTACCTTTGTCTCTATAGATAAAAGTTTATGATTTGCACTGTCACCAACAATCGAAATCTTAATAGGTACCTTCTTAACGATACCGATCAAGAAGACCACGAGATCTTCTTGTCAGGGAACACTTAAATTTTTGTACATTCAAGACAATTAATCTTGGTCATCCTGTTTTCGTCAATTTGTAAATTATCGATGCTAATAAAAATGGTAAACTGCATTTGGTCCATCGCGACGGAGGCCAACTTGCAAAATGTTTGAGCAACACGTTTCGAAAGAGCTCGTATGTTTAGTAGACAAATGTTTTATTTTTAATATTCATAAAGCTATCACATCTTGTCAAGGTTAAGGAATAAGATATTACAAGGTTAAAACCCATGACCTCTAAATGAAATAATATGTTATAACAACACGTCTCCGTTTCAATAAATGTCATTTTCGCAAGTTTTATTAAATTGTAATAAGGGCGAGTCTATCGCCTAATACCGGGCAAATAAATTGAACCCGATGTTATGGAGGATTTTATTACTTTTTCAAGAATTTGACATTTATCCGAGATTGTGTATTTATTGAACACAAAGCAGTTTAATTCAATATGGAAAACTGTTTTATGGAATAGGAGGCAAATGAGCAGACGGATCACCTGATGGTAAGCGATCAGCGCCGCCCATGGATACCCGCAACACCAGAGGAGTAACAGGTGCGTTGCCGGCATTTTAAAAAGAAATACGCTCTTTTCTTGAAGGTTTGAAGGTCGTATCGGTTCGGTAATACCGCCGACAAGATCATTCCACAATTTTGCTGTGCGAGGCAAAAAGCTACGTGAGAAGCGCACAGTTGTGGCCTGCCAACCATCTATATGATGGGAATGCATATGCTGTCGTGAGGGTCGATGGCGATGTATTATACAACAGTCGTGATTTTATTGGCAATAACAAAATTTAAATAAATGTATCATCACGCACAGCATGTTTGTTTACATAAACAATAAATAAAATAAACAACACGTTTATTGTCCCAAAGAGAAAAGGTGTAGGCAGAAGTTAAGAGGTTGTATTTCTATCACCCACATTTCACTTTTATGTTAACCACATGGTAATAGGAAACAAAGTCACCATGCATCGAACCTCTATGAAAAATCATTTCACAATCGAACTTTATAATCCTACGTATGGTTCCAGCCAATAAAATAAGAGGTCCTTAACTTCGTTCACAGTTGAATCAGTCGATCCATTCGCAACAATATTGCAAAATCTTACTCATATTAGTAAATGTTTACCTAATCTTAAATAATGGCTTCCTTACCTGGATGTAGCTCCACGTTTCTAGCTAGAACTGGTTTGGTCGGTTTCCCATCGGTTGCAATCACCACCATTTCGTGTTTCTCTATAGTCACTATCACGGGACACTCAGTTGCAATTGCATTTATGAATCTTAATCGGTATGCGAACCCAGCCATAACGACTATCCTGAAAAAAGAAATAATACATTTAAAAAAAGTAAATTTCACAAAGCCCATGCGTTACGTGTTCTATCTGTGTTATTATTCATACTAATCAGATGTAAAATATTCTTACTTCTATCCAATAAAAAATCTACCTGTATTTGTTATTAAACCCTTGCTTTACATCTATCAATACTCAATAGGTAATGTAATTAAACAATCTTTCTAATTAAAACTTACTTTAAAGACAATAAGGATCACAATTTCAAACGAAATAAAATGGACCAAACTCTTACACATCTCCGTCCCTGTCCCCATTTATGCATAAGTATAACATTTCACATAATAAAAAAGTTGAACTTATTTGAATGAAACATTATAACGTGCACTGAATAGAAAGGCCGTGTAAAGCAGGTACTCTACACAAGGTGACTTGCAAACCACAGACGTCAATGCCAAATGCAGTTTCACGTAGGTACATAATGCTAAAATATTACTATTATAATAAACTTGAAACTTATGAGTTAACTAATAAGTTTTATCAAAAGTTTGTAAAAGGTGCAGTAATCTTGAAGTAATTGTTCAAGACAAAAATACCTGATTTACCGATGACAACTACAGATATAAATAAATAAAAAAAAAATGAATTAAAGAGCCAGTATACCGCGCGACATCCCTGCGACCACGCACGCTGCTCATGAAGATGAGTCCCTCTGTGACTCGAAACTTGTAGAGTTTTTCTCAATTTATTTACGAGAGTAACTCGTAATTTTTAGTCTCACGATAGTTATTATAAAAAATATGAACATAATAAATAATGCGTACCCATTTTTGATAACCTTCAAAAGGCTCCTAGGTTTTTTATTTGACTAAAACCACCCGGTAGCCACCATCACCACCAATTATGTGCGCCTTTCATAGATGTATGGAAAAAATATTATTATCTTCACTAGATTGTCAGTCAATCTAAATGCAAGACAAGCTCATAACTATACGTCAAACGTAAACTTGAAACTGCATATATATCATTCAATAATGGTTACTATCTTAGTTTAAACAAGTTTTAACTTTCATGAAGATCTACCATCAATATGATATCGTCATTAACATTAAATGAATGCCTTTACCACGCTACCAGTTTCTTGCAAAACAACTGGTAAGTTACTAAACCAGTTAACTTTCTTTATGGACTAACTACCGGCATTACGGGCCATTAGATATAAAGTAGTCAATGAAATACTAAATGCTTCGATTTTTAGTAAAGACGGATGCAATGTGCAATGCGGTAAACTGCAATGAAGGTCTAGAGGTCATTATCCTTTGCGCCTTCATAAACAAACAATCTTCTTGTATGTTGTGTTTAATACGATAGATTTCGTGGTTGTAGTCAATGCCTCATTCAATTTCAAAGAATGAAATGTTAATTTTTGGTTTAGTTTTAACTGAAAGAATGTTATCCTGAACTTTGATATTCACAATATCAAAGGTCTATTATATTATTTTTATAGTATGTACCATCTGAAGGTCGTTTAGTAAACCACTAGACAAATATGTATATCGACTACTACATGAGAAGGTCAGGGTGTTCTTCATAAAGTACCGATTAGACCTCAATGACGTCCTCAAAAGGTTAGAAAAAAGAACTTAGGCCATTTGCTCTTTAAATACTTACTTTGAGACATCTCCGTCGCCATTTATAATAAGGGCATCTGGTTTCAATTTGCTAACGTCTTCTAGCTTAGCAGTCAACAGCTCTGGGAATTTAGCTCCTATTGTTAATGTGTTCTCAGCGCTCCTGTCGTAATCATACAGAGATGAGTGATGTTCCAGCGGTTGCGGTTGATTTATTATTAGTGGGCCATATACACCATCACTCTGATGTGACACTGCAACAAAAAACTGACGCGTTAAAGATAAATGGAATTCAACAAGGATTTAATTTATAACAACCCGTTAGAGTCCAAACTTCACGGACAGCAGCAAATGTTTTGTGGAGTAACTGGGTGTGATAAAAGTAAAAATCAAAGGGAAATAATAATAGTACACATACCTGAATCGGCATGGTAGAAGAAAGTCCCAGGTGAAGTTGCGACAAAAGCGTATTTGAAGGTTTGTCCATATCCTATAGGACATTGGGTCACCATAGGAACACCATCCATGTAAGGAGTTCCCTTCTGCTCAATGCCATGCCAATGGATACTTATATCTTGATCCAGAATATTGTTCTGCACTTCCACCACTATGATGTCATTGACACAGGCTTGGATGGGAGGTCCTGGAGTCATTCCATTGATGGTGATAGCTGGTCTTCCATCTTCCTGGATTGTTGGCTCCACTTTGAAATTATAGTGGCACCGTTTTGGCTTCACGTTAAATTTGCAAGGTCGGTAGCAAGATACTTTATCTGCAAGTAATCGTGTTGCGATATATTTGATGTTTTGTTTACTTTATATAAACTAGGTACATACGTGCTTGTACTTTAATTATATTCGTCAATATGTATCGACTTTTTGTTGGTATAATTAGGATGAATCACAATTAGTATGCAAATAACATTTAAATATTTACTCGATTTTGTTGTTAAAATTTTTGATATAGACTATAGAGTTCTAGTTTAAAAAATCTACACATTCTGGAATGGGGTAATTAATCACCATATTGATCTAATTATAACACTATAGCTGAAAAATAAAAAAGATACTACCTAAATTTTTCGTAGTATCTTCAAAGAGTATATTAGTCCCAGAGGGCGCAAAACTCTCAAGGGAGGCTTTTCCATTATTGCTGATATTGGCAATTATAAAAAGGCAACAAACAAACACTTTCATTGTCACTGAAAATTGTATTGGCAACTAGTTCGCGCACTACACTACTGGGCGCACTACGCGCGAACGCTGCGATAGACGTCTCGTTCTCAACTAGCTTAGTGACGAAAAGCGGTTTCACAGACATGTGCTCTCGACCCCGTACCACGAGAGTTCACCGGCAACAACTACTCACTTTTCGCATCGCTAATCGTAAAAAAATAACAACAACGGTACAAGGGCAAAATCTATCGTTTGCGTTTTAAAATCTATTGGTAGGAGGATAGGAATTGTTTGTAAGCCGTTCCATTTGCTTGCGCCGTCAAATCAATGCGTTGCCTTTACTATTGCTGAAATATGAAACTTAAGGAAAAAAGTGGTTCAACTGTTTCATGGTACTACTATGTACCAACGGAGGAATATTTTTCTTTTACTTAAATATTTTTTTAAGTTACGACATTGTTGACAAGTCTTCCGTTTACCCGTCGAAAGTATAGTTGATACCAACTTGTACACATGTTTGTTCATCAATTAGAAACTTTTCGTTTCCATTAACTCTTTGTATAATCTCCGAAAGAAAAAGGTGTAAAGCTAGTGACTGTGTTACATAACTAAATAAATGTATCTTCTTTCTAAGGTTTGGCATAGGATTTATGAAGATTAATTTGAAGAGGGTAATCCTAACAAATATTTTAAATGCGAAAGTGTTTGATTGTCTTTCTTTCACCCTATTTATATTTCTGTTCATTCTTTAGACCTTTAACCTTTTGGCGCGATGCGACACCACTCGATGCGCCAACTTGATATTGATTCGTAAGTTTTGTTATAGGTAATCTATCGAATCTTGGCAGAAGGCTACGCAGCCGCCTTATGGTGTTACTCATTCCTAAAGTGTTACGTTCCCCTCATTCGAGACTCCACAGTTTTATTCCACGTCCTAGAAGAAGTATGATGCTTGGATACATAATTATTATATTTTCTTTTTTAAGAGATAAGCCGGTAAACATGCCGACGAATCACCTGATGGTAAGCAATCGACGCCGCCCATGGACACCCGAAACATCAGAAACGTTAGAAGTGCGTTACTGGTTCTTTTAGGGATTCGGAATTTGAGGATTATTGAGGATTCAGGGATAGGAGAGATAGGGAGAGGGGGAGTGGGGTAATTGGGCCTCCGGTAACCTTCCTCACGTGACGAAACACAACTCAAGCGTTGTTTCCCGTCGATTTTAAGGTCGCGGTATCACTCCTATCGAGCCGACCTATTCATACCAAACCATAGCTACCCCATACCTATACTTTTTTTTAAATGTACTCAAATACCTATGTATAATTCTTCCACATACCTAAAGGACAAGTCCTTTAGGTTAGGTTAGGGGACTTCATACAAGTATGAAGTCCCATCACCCACGATATGTGATCAGGTTTGACTAGCACACATGTTGACGGGTAACAAACATAAATTCCAGTGGAACAAAATGTAACGCATTTTGCAACTTCGTTCCGCACTTGCAATCTTCGAAGGAAACCATTTCAAAACTCTCAATGTAGTTTATAATGTATGTTAAGGTCGGTTTAGAGTGCTACAAGGAACAGTAGCCATTTTATTATAGATCTTTTATTTCAAAACCGGAAGAAAATTGAAAGAATGCTTCCCGATTACCTACTACCTTTTTTAAATCTGTTGAATATATTAAAGGTATTTCTTGTAA